AATTTCAATAATTTTATTCTATGAGGTAAATAGGCAATAAAAGATTAATGGGGGAAAAGTACACGCATTAACATTAAAAGCACGGGGACAGGGGCTGGAGAGACAGCTCAGTAATTAAGGGTCCTTCCTGCTCTTCTAGAAGTGAGTTTAAATTCCAGCACCCACGTCAGGCAGCTCACAACTGTCTGTAACTCCACATTCAGGAGATCTGACACCCTTTTCTGGCCTCCATGGTTACCCACACATAAATAAAACATAAAATAACAGAGGTTAGCAGAACATGGCTCATGCTGTCATGCCAACACATGGGAGGCTGAAGCAGGAGAATTGCCATGAGTTCAAAGCCAGCCAAGGCTATGCAGGGACACTCTAGCAAGAAAAAAAAAAAACCCTTGACTCAGTGGTAGAGAGTTTGCCTGCAAGTGAAAGGCACTGGGTTAGATCTCTAGCACAACAAAGTAAAAAAGGCGGGAGAAAAAAGAAAGAAGGAAATGGCAGGGGCCGTACACAAGAGCTAGGTAGTTGAAGCTTATAGACTCTACAAAAATAACTTAGGGTTCCTGGTGTGCAGTGGCAACAGAGAACACGTGGAATAAATACACTGAGCAAAGGTTGTCATTAAAGACTGCAGATAAAGTCTCCCAGGTAACAGCCATAAGGCCCTGGTAAGCTCTGTCTGGGTTGGGGGCAGACCCCAGTCTCTTCTGGGAACAGAGCTCTCCTAGATGGAAAAAGGGGTGTCCTCAGAGAAAGGCTGCTTGCATTGCTGTCTATTTCTCCTACTTATGTAAATCTCCCCCCCACACAGGCAGCTTTTCAGAGCTATCCTGTGCCAGCAGCCCATCTGAATAGCCATGTTGAAATGCACTGAAGTATATTTGGAGGTGGCCTATTTGGTTTCCCTCACACTGCTGGAAGCTAATGCTGACACTAATATAGATAAAGCAGCTGTGAAGAAAACACAGTGCTTCCAAAACCTTCCTAATATTTAGTCAATCATCGCCTAATGTCAATTCACTTTAATTTATTAGATTACACAAAGTTTCACATATGTTACAGGAACAGGTGCTTTAAGTTAGATAAAGATGTTATGATGTTATTAGGTTTTTGGCATTTATTATTATAACAGCATTTAAAAAAATATTTTATTTATTATTTTTATGTGTATGCATGTTTTGCCTGCATGTAGGTGAGTGCACCTGTGTTGTGCAATGCCCTCAGAGGACAGAAGAGGCTTTCAGATCCCCTGGACAGTTCTTAGCTGCCATGTGGGGCTGGGATTCGAACCCAGATCTTCTGCAAAAACAACCAGTGTTCTTAACTGCTGAGCCATCTCTCCAGCCCCACAAAGCATTTATTTTTATTATCCATAATGGTCTTTTTTCGGGGGGTGATGTGACTGGGGATCAAATAACTTAGACTTGAGCATTAGGCAACAGCTCTACCCTTTCTTTTTCTCTTTCTGAGACAGGGTTTTGCTAGGCATCAAAATTTAAATCCTCTTACCTCGGCCTCCCAAGAGCTGGGATTACAAACATATATCACCATGCCCAGTTTGAAGCGTGACTTTTAAAAAATCAACAGGGCTAGGTGTGGTGGCACACCCCTTTAATCCCAGCACTCAAGAGGCAGAGGCAGGCAGATCTCTGTGAGTTCGAGGCCAGCCTGGTCTACATAGTGAGTTCCAGGACAGCTGGGGCTACAGGGAGACCCTGTCTCAAAAAACAAAAACAAAACACCAAAAATCGAAAACAAATGAAAACCAACAAGAATTGTTCCTGAGGAATGCTCCCGAGGTTAACATCTGACCTACACACACACACACACACACACACACACACACACACACACACACACACACACAGTTATAAAATTAAAAATTATTCAAATCACCATTCTATTTTTTTCTTGTTTTTTCATTCTTTCTTGTTGGTTTGTTTTTCTTCTCTTCCACCATTTTCTACTTTGTATAACAAAAAGTAGAATAATGTGGGGGCAAACATGTACCTGTTTCAGATTCCTTGGCTTTGATAATGCCATAGGACCTGAATACATTAATTATTGAAGTTTCTCTTTCCTTTCTTTTTCTTTCTTTCCCTCCCTCCCTCCCTTCTTTTCTTCTGTCTTCTTTCTTTTCCCCTTCATTCCTTTTTGTGTCTGTACACCTGTTTATGTGTTTACATAAATGAGGAGGTGTGTCTGAAGGCCCAAAGTTGACATCCTGTATCTTCATCAATTGCTCTCCACTTTTTATTTGTTGAGGCAAGGTTTCTTTCTGAACCTGGAGCTCACTGATTTCAACTAATCAAGCTAGCTAGCCCTGGGGATCCTGTCTCTGCCTCCTGAGTTCTGGGATTACAAGTGGCTCCCATGCCTGCCTGGCTTTTATGTGGGTTCTGAGGATCTAAATTCCAGTCCTCATACTTCTGAGACAAGTGCTTTTTCCACTGACCCATCTTTCCAGCCTGTATTTTTATTTTGTTTTGTATTTTTATGAGGCAGGGTCTCATTTTGTAGTTCAGGTTGTCCTGGAACTCACTGTGTAGTCCAGGCTAGCCTTGAACTTGAGACTGTCCTCCTGCTTCAGTCCCCCTAAGTCCTAGTATTACAGACATGAGCCATCATAGTTGTCTCCACTGAACTTTGTTATGCCTCACAATTTCATAATCTGTAAAGTGGAGAAGATAATACTTAATTTGGGTGTAAATGAATTAGAACAGGCAAAGTATTTAGAACATCACCTGGCATCATACAGAAAGCTTTTTGTTTTACATTAATATGTATATAAGAAGAGCTATAGCTCATTTCCTGATCAAAGCACAAGTTTTAGAGAAAGGGAAGTAAACTTTCCTACAAAAATA